CCATTTTTTACAAACGTATTGCCTAAATATCATGCATAGGCAAGACCTATGGTTGCCTCGATACCGTGCCAAATCTAGTTTTGCACAATGCACAAGTAAAGTAAATTATATTCGCTGGGTCTTCCGTGCATTGTGCTTAGCAAAAAAAGGAATGCAATTGTTAAGCGACGCAAAATGTGCAATGCAGCAAGTGACCACACACACCCGTCCAGCCCCCATGGTCCACCAACACGCCCCACACCACTCGCCAGCCCACGCCAACCACTGAGACGAGCCCCTCCCCCCGCGCTGGTCTGACGCAACAGCTGGTCTACAAAGCGCTCCACCCGGCGACCCGAGCCGATGTCAAACGGCGTGGGTACTGGGTAGACTGTGCCGCATAACTTTCGGGTCATGCGGCACAGCCTACCGGTACCAGGCGGCTACTGCCAATGCTGAGCCATAGGAACCCGGTGGATAAAGAGTAGTGGACCATCAACCTGTACCCGACTGTACTTACCATGGTCATGCGGAAAAATCGCTAGGCACTGAGCTGAATGAAATTGATGCAAATTTTGATGCTTTTTTCGATTTTACCCGTACTGCTTGCTTATATGTATTTGTCAGTAACATCAGTTTCATTGTTGTTCATTTAAATCTAATTATTAATTAACATCGGTTACTAAATTCCTGCAATCAACCATTTGATGGCTCATAAAAACTTCTTTGTGTCTTCCTGCGTGGATCTTGAAGATCGTATTGTATTGCGTGGATCATGAAGATGCGTGAGATCGTATTTGAAAAAGGTAGTGTTAAAGTGGCGTCCACATCCTCAATCTGAAACTTAAAAAGGAAACGCGACCTGACGATCTTCTTATTGAGTGAAACAGCCAGTTCAGGATACTTACATCCATGTACTCTTTATTTACAGTCAACAAATGAGTATTAACGTGGATATGCGCGCTATAAGATCACGGTTTTGGCCCGTCTGCACCGCCCTCTCCTCCGCCACGTGTCTGAGCTCGAGCGGCGGCCACGTGCGGCGCCACGTGCACCCGTCCCCAGACACGGCGCGCCCGGACCCAGGTAGAAACACACGTGCATATGAGGTACGTACAGAGCTAGCTATCAGGGAGACAAGAGAGATTGAGAGGAGAGGAGAGCCGATACGAGCGACTGCAGAGCGCCGCCGGGACAGCAGGACTAGAACGCTCGAGACAACGTCGACCACAGCACCGACCGTGACAGAAGCGAGCAGGGCCGGGGAGCGGCCCGGGGCGGGCCGGGACCCGCCGGGACAGACAGGGAGTCGGAGGGCAGTTTGTGCGCACGCCGCCGGTCGGAGAGGGCCTCAGGGACACAGGAGGAGCGCTATAGACCGCCCGCCGCGGAGACGGAGACTAGAGGACGAGGGAACGAGACTAGAGGACGAGGGAACGAGACTGGAGGACGCCGGCGGAGACTAGAGCAGCTGTGACTAGAACCGGTGACCGGAGACGGGCCGGGTCGGGCGATCCCAACCCTGGGACATATCGGGCGCTACGAACCGCCTTCCACACCGGTCACTATTGCGGTACCACACCCACTGGAGTGGCGCTCTGCCCCGCCACAGGGAGAACGGAGAGCACCGGGCGCCCTGCCAGGGACACCAAGTCCCCGCCGTCCCAATGGGCGCCCCGGCGCCCCTGACCGACCCGGTTCGGTCAGAGTGAGCTCTACCGGTGTCGCTACTGACACTCTCACACGTGCGCCGCACACAGACGGGTGTCGGCCGCGCTCAGCCGCACAGAGCGTCCCTCACCGATCGCGCTGCCACCGGGTCCTGAGCCCGCGCATCGAGGTTCATATGGCACATTGCTGGCAGTGGCACGCGCAGGGACGCCCTCGACACGATCCGACTCCTGCGCGCGATCCGGGGTGCCTCCGCGCTGTTTTGCACTCGTCACACACACACGCACACACTCATAGTCAGCCGCGCTCTGTCTTGTATCCAGTCTTGCGGCGTGTCTGGTGCCAAGATGCACACCGTTTTTGCGATGCCTTCGTCGTAAAATTAAAATGGCTGCAGCAAACGGACATGCTTCGTGCTGCACATATGTTGGGCGTATTTGCACCATTGGTGTAAATAAATGACCCTTACTTTTCTGATGGGCACACATATGTAGTAAGAACGCGAATATTCAACAGAACGCACTGCATAACACGCTTTCAAAATATACCTTCTTGACACAATGAAGACACATGTTTTGAAGCAACATCAAACGGTATGCTGGTGAATAATGACACTGAACGCCTAAATGTCACCATGGTGATGGTGTGAAGTTGTTTGGTGACGTTACTTGGGTCGTAAATAGCAGGCTGGCTACCCCTGTCAAGCCTCGGGTGATTTTTGCTGCAGTCTTCACCGTAAGACGGCAGTGAGCTCCGCCACTTGCGGAGGTGGCGCTACCTGGTGGAGGGAGCTCCGCTGGCAGCGCCACCTAGCCCTCGAGCGGCCGGCTCCGGCGACCGAGATCAACAGCGGCCGCCGTGGCCATACAACTACCACGAGGACTGGCCATGCGACTTAGGACCTAACAAAGGTCAGATCACGAGTGGATGGTTACAAACTTACAAGTTACGTGATAAACAGAGATCAGATGAAGTGACAAACACATCAGATTGATGAAGCCAACAGAGGGACTCTCGACTTTGAGGCACTTCGCAGCTGCGATCCACGGCGAACCGTCCGTCCCTCGCTCTCTCACTCTCCGTCCATCTCCGTCACTCTCCGTCCCACTCTGCCCGTCCCCTGGCACGCAGTCACGCGACGAACTATTGCACTTTTAGAAGAGGCTTTTGAGGAAGCCGCCGACGGCCTTGGAAGCGTTTGCCGCGTTGCCGGCGACGTTGCCGGCCACGTTGGCGGCGGCGGAAGCGGCCGTGCCGGCGGCGTCGGGCAGCAGGTTCGGCAGCTGGGGCTGCAACAGAGGACACCACTGTCAGATGGGCGGGTCTTTTCTCAAGGAGTGGGAGGGTATATCCATAATTCATTCAACGATGCTCTGTCATTGTCAAGCCATTAGCCAAGTTTGTTGACGATTGTTCTCTAAGTACGAGTTGCACTCTATATGCCGAGTTGTAGTTTGTGCACATTCCTAGAAGCACGGACTTCACGTTTATGGATTATATCCCTAGTGGTGAACCTGCAAGTAAGCTTCATAGCCCTGAAGTGACCCATCGGTAGCTGTGCGGCGCCTCTGACCTTGTTCTGCTGCTGCTGTGACTGCTGGGTCGGCGGCGGCGGCGGTGCCGGACTGGCGGTGACCGCCCCGGGGGTGGTGGCCCGAGACGGACCGGTGGAGGGAGGCGCGGTCAGCGGCGCGCCGCGGGACCTCCTCAGCGCTCTGAGGATACAGACACGCGGACAGACATCAGCTGTGGGCAGATTCACTGGGTCAACAGGCCGGACGCTTCAGTGAGTGACTAAGAGCCTAGCGCTACCCTGAACTTAAACCCCGCGCCCTACCGTTATCAGCTCCTGATATATTTATTTCCCAAACATAATTCGACCATCCATTCATTATTGATCGGCATTATGAATCACCATTCCGGCCTCTCCCATATATTGAGTGCCCCCACTAGCTGTCCCGAGGACACCCGGCAGACCGCTGTAGCTCGCCACGGCCGCCCGGCCGGTCGTAACGACACAATCGAGCCCAAACGGCCGTTAAAACCGGGTCGTCCGGGCCGACCGGGCCGACCGACCCATCGTTGACCTTTGCGGAACCAATCCGCGGCGGGTACCGTCGGGAGCTGGGGGCTCCGCGCGTCGGTCGCCGTCTGGTGAAGCTGATCGGCGGAGAGTGATCGACCTGCAGCCCGCTCCGGGCTTATTTACTGGCATATTTGATTCAACTAAATCCCCCATCTCTATCTTCAATTAAAATCGACCCCACCCCGCAAAATACATTCCTATTCGGCGGTGCCTACATTGTGCGCTAGCTTTCCTTTCATTAGCAGAAGTTCCAGCTGTTTAACTTTCTGCACGTTGTGTTATCTCTTTAAATGCTTTCTAAGGAAACCCTCCCTCTGACAAATGATTCATTATGCACGGGCTCATCTTACGATAGATTTTCATAACTTAAAAAATAACCCTGATTCAGGCGAGTGTTGGTGCCTCATAAATGAGCTAAACGGTTCAAATTGTCCTCATCAGAATAGAAAGCACCTCATTTGCTGTTGTAGCAAACGCTCAGAACGGGCGAATGGCACAAACTCGCTGATGGTCTCAGTCCTAATGAGTCTCCCGTTTGGAAATATGCCCGCCTCCAGTGTCCGAAAGTCACGGAACTGGGCTGGTGTCGGGTTATTAGCACACTCCTAACGCCCCGATGCCTCGCCGGTGACAAATGTAGCTATTGATCACGCGGAACAAAGGCCATGTGCTGTGAGTCTGAGGATGAGGGCATGACTCTGCCCCGCCGTTCGATGCTTAACACTAACACTAGGTATTACCTCTGTATGCATTTTGTAATTAAGTGGTCTTAAGTAACCTGCTCCTTTTCTAATTTCATTCACACTGTGCCGTGTTCTTTTTGACAATCCACCAACTCCGCTGCCTTCCAGGATTTCGGCCAGAGAAGCATGTCTATCTTGTTGTGAATGCCGCTGGGAAATTAGATTCACAGCCCTCGGCGGCGTGCCTGCGGTACATTCCATCCCGCTCCGAAACGCTCCCGCCGGGGCACAACGCTCCCGACTCCGCTCTTACTCGGAATTAACTACTCGAGACAAAATCTCGGGGACACACAACTGCCCTCTCGTGCCTCAACTATATCACACGTCCCCCAGAAACTCCAGTCTCAGTTTAGTTTGGTGTACCGTTTCAGGACCAACATACCTACTCGGTCGCCACGGGTCTTTTTTTGTGCCGGCCTGTCTCACAGCGTGGCCCTGATTATTTGGCAGCCTAGTACGTTTCTACCGGACCCATCTAGCTACCCCATCACCCGGGTCCGTCCTGGGTATCCTCTGTTCACTCACTCCTGCAGCTCCTTGATGGTCTTGTCCTTGGCGAACTGCTCCTCCTGCGACATCTGCATCAGGTGCAGCAGGCGCTCCGACTCGGCCTGCGCCTTCTTGTTCTCCTCGCGCAGCTGCGCCAGCTCTGTCCGCAGCTGCGCCAGCTCTGCCGCTCCGCCGCCCTGCTCCGCCTGCGGGCAGACACGGCGGCTGGGCCGTCACCAGGGGCAATCGTCTGAGTGGGGCCGCGCGGCGCTAACTGACAGCCGGTAAGTGATGACGTTTACCGAGCAACGCAACGGGGAATCATTCATCCACCGTAAAAGGCAGAGCCAACAGACTTGTTGTCGTTTTCCGGGAAATTTGTATGACATTGACTGAATTGGATATCGATTATTTATGTTGTGAGAGTAACTTAGTAAACTCTCTATAAGGTGTCATACTTCACCGTCACCATACCCAAACAACTTTCGATATTATCCAGACCCTCCGCACTGTCACCTTATGGGACAAATAAATCAATATGGCGCCGGCTGGTGCTCCGGGGGCAGCCGCCGGAGAGGGTCGCCAGGGACGGAGCACACTGGCCATTGTGTGTGACCAGCAGCGTCTCACACACAGCGACAGAGATCGATGCCGCTGACACTGTCTGGGACGGTGCCGAGAGCGGCGGCCGGACCGTGCTGGACTGCCGCCTCTCTCACTGCGGTATGGCGCCTCTCTCACGGTAGGCCCGCGTCTCTCACGACGGGATGGCGCCTCTTGCACGGAGAGCTGACGCCTCTCTCTAAAGAGAGTTAGCACCCAAGAGGGGAGGGGACCAGCTTTCATCGCGGGACTGCTGACACCTATATCTGTACCATGTATGTGCCGGAAAATGTCCAAAGACATTGCTCGTCTGGACCAATCCAAATACACTGAACATATATAGCTATAATGAGGCCGTGCCACCGCGTCAACGTCGCCAGCAATGTAGAATATCCAAGACAGTTAGGATAAATGATAACAATAACACGTCAAATGTATATTTAAACACACAAAGCTTTCGGTATGAAAATACCTTGATCGTCCTCATTGCTGTTTAACACAGTGATCAAGGTATTTTCATACCAAAAGCTTTGTGTGTCTAAATATACATTTGACGTGTTATTGTTATCATTTGTCGCCAGCAATACCGAACTTTTTGACGCAAGTGCGTGGGGCCAGCCCCGGTCTCTCTCATCCCCCTCCCTATTTCGAACTTCTCCCGGGGTGAGTGAGGTGTCCCCTAGCTCAGTGGGCGGCGTCCACAACTCCCCATGGTCCCAGTTGCGGCGGTTCGGCCTCGGCGGCTCGCCCGCCTCCCCGCGGCCGGTCGGAAGCGCCGGGCCCGGTCGCCACTTTACGAGCGCCGCCGTAATTCCGCGAGTGGCTGATCGCGAATTAAATGGACCGGATGCGGACAATCGGCCCGCGCCGATGGACGTTAGCCAGACAGGCAACACATTACACATGGTACGCCGAATCGTTCGGTAAAGTTCCCAAACGGCCGTCACCGCCTGTTGTGAGAGGTTTGGACGATTAGTTCAGCCGTATTTAAACATCCACGGCCCACGCCGTTAGGGAGCGATATCTCCCCATATTTGAACCACTTTGGAGTTTGGATGCCTTTTCCATGCCTTTTGCCTTCCCTTTTCATGCTCCAGCGCCGCACTGTGCATTGTGCAAGCGGCGCGCCGCGGCTGCTGTAAGGTAGACTGTGCCGCAGCACAGTGGTATATGCGGGACAGTATACCAACAGGCACGTCGCAATCCCGACACGATACGACCAATAATGTATAAGTTGGCGACATGGGATGATGAGCCTAAAGGTTTCAGTGAAGTGCAGCTATGGTCTGGATGCTTACTTGTCTAGCTTGTCTGTATACACAATGATATAAGTTTTGATTGAATACTCGAGACAAACAATTAAAAGCCTACTTGGCTCCGCTGCCAGCCCCGACTTAATTACCCGCTCTTGCCGGACTATCCCCCTTACCTTGGCTGCCAACTCCGACTCGAGCTGTTTGACGCGAGCCTGCAGCTGCGCCAGCTGCTTGTCCCGTTCCTCCAGCTGCCGCGTACGCTCCTCAAGCAGCTGCTGTTGCTGCTGCAGCTGCTGTTGGGCCTGCTGCAACTGCTGCTGCTGTTGCTGCAGCTGCTGTTGTTGCTGCTGTAACTGCTGCTGATGCTGCGCGCTGGAATCCTCCTCACTGCTACTGCCCGAGTTAGCAGCTTTTTGCTGTGCCTTCTGTAGATCCAGCTGTGGGAACGCGTAGATCATGTGATAAGAGGTTGCATAATAGCTAACTACGAATAAACTTTCAAAGTTTTGAATGATCATTCGAATGACCGCTCAACTGAAATGTAAACGTGATTGCAGTTTCTTGTGGTTGTGCATTTGAAGAGCAAAAATAGGCATAACAAAATTATTTCTTCTCTCTGTGTCGTAATTCTTCAGTTCATACTTCATTGACATGTGAAAGATAAGGGCAATCAAATAATTCGAATGCCTAATTCTTTGAGATCCTCTTAAGGTCTGGCTACACTATGCGTTTTCTGCGTGCGTTTTTTGCGTGTTTGCGGGTTTTGCGTAATATCGTTCTAGAAAAAAGGTTACCTATTATTAATTAAACTTCTTTAATATTTATATAAAAGTTAATAAAACGTTTATGTTAATTAAAAGTTTATATGAAAAACATATAACAAAACGTAATGCCGTTTCTTTCTAGAACGATATTCCGCAAATCACGCAAACTCGCAAAAAACGCACGCAGAAAACGCATAGTGTAGCCACTGCATTAGAGATGCAAACTAGCAAAACGATTGCTTTTAAAGCTTCCTAGAACCGCCAGTACCAAAGGACATCATTCTCACCTGGGTGCGTTGGAGCTCCTGAACCAGTATCTCCAGCTGGGACTGAAGCCTTTCTCGCTCTACTCGAGAGTTCTGCATGTCGTTTTTGGAGCGTTCCAGCTCCTTCCTGAGCTTCTGGACCTCAGTGGAGTCGCTGGTCTTCTGCTGCAGCAGCTGGTGGGCCGACGCCAGCTGCTGCTGCTGCTCCTGGATGGTGCCCTGCTGCTGCTCCAGCCGCTGCTGCTGCTCCTGCAGCTGCTGCTTCTGCTGCTGCACCTGCTGTTGCAGCACGGCCGCGCCCTGCCGCGTCTCCGTCCGGGCCGCCTCCAGCTGCTGTTTGAGCTGCGCCAGCTGCGACTGCGTCTCCTGGAGCGTCTGCTCGGCGCGGTCGGCGCGGCCGCGCTCCGCCTCCAAACTAGCGCGCAGCTGCTGCAGCTGCTCCGAGTCCGAGCGGCTGCTGTTACTCTGAGCCTCGCGCAGCTCCACCTCCGCCCTCTTCAGTCGTGCCACCTCCGCCTCGTGAGCGCGCTGCAGCGACTCCATCTCCTGCTGCTTCTGGGACAGCTGCTGCGTGAGCTGCTGCAGCTGCGCCTCGCGCTCCTTGAGCTGCTGCGCAGCCTGCGCCTGCTGGCCGCCGGCAGCCTGCTGCGCCGACTCCAGGCTGCGCTGGGTGGACTGCAGCTCCTGCTGGAAGGTGGTCAGCATGGCCGACGACTTTTCCAGCTGCGTCACCAGCTGGTCGCGCTCGGCGGTGATCTGAGACAGCTCGTGTTCCAGAGCAGAGATGCGCTGCATGCGCTCAGCAGTCAGCTTATCCTTCTCCCCACCGGCCGCGAGCAAACGCTCCTCCGACTGACGGGCCTTCTCCCTGATCTGCTGCTTTTGAATCTCAGCCTCTTTGGCCAGCTCCTCTGCCTTTTTCCGCCTTTCCTCGATTTGTCTCATTTCTTCTTCAATCTTGCTTTTGTGTTCTTCTGTTAGCCGTTTTTCTTCTTCTACCTTTCGCTTTTCGTCATCCGATAAACGTTTTTGCTCCTCGGCTTTGTGCTTTTGTTCCTCCGCCTGTCTCTTTTCTTCTTCTGCTTTTCTTCTTCCCTCTTCAGCCTTGCGCTTCTCTTCCTCCACAGCCCTCTTCTGCTCCTCTACAGCGCGCTTCTGCTCCTCAGAAGCCCTGAGAGCAGCTTGTGACTTTTCTAGTTCATTCTGTAGCTTGGTCAGCTGGTCCTGGAAGCCCTTGACTTGTATCCTGGTCTGCTCGTCATTGCTGTTGGCCTTGTTGGCCGCCTGCTGCAGGTTCTGGCGCTCCTGCTCCGCGGTGCGCAGCTTGCCCTCGGTACGCTCCAGCTTGGAGTGCAGCGACTCGATCTCCATGGCCATCTTCTCGAACTCGGCCTTGGCGGCCTCGTTGCTGTCTTTGTACTTGGTCAGCCGCTGCTGGGTGTGCTCCAGCTCGCGGCTCAGGCGCTGCGTCTCGGCGTCGCTCGTCTGTTTCTCGTCGCTGACGCGCTGCAGCTCGGCCTGCGAACGCTCCAGCTTGGCTCGCACGCGGTCCATCTCCGCATTTATTTTCTCCATGTCGTCTCGGCTGTCGTTCTGCGCCGTCGAGTGGCGGTCCAACTCAGCTTGCGCCTGTTGCAGGTCGCTCTTCAGCCGTTTCTTCTCTGACTCGAGCTGTTCCACCTTCTGACCGAGTCGCGTCGCCTCGCTCTGCGCCTTTTCGTAACGGGAACGAATGCGTTCCAGCTCGAATTTCAGCCTCTCAACCTCGCCCTGGTTTTGTTCTTTCTCAGAAGCAAAACGTGTCATGTTGTTCTCGTGCTTCTCCAGCTCTTTCTGCAGCCGCTGCACCTCCTCCTGCTGTTTCTCAGCCTGGATGCGCTGTTTGCGAACCTCCATCTGGGAGACGTCGTACTTTTCCCGCACGCGGTCCAGCTCGTTCTGCAGCACCTCCAGCTGTATGTCGGAGCGGCTGTCCTCGCTAAGCGTGCGACCCTTCTGAGACTCCAGACGGTCGAGTTCGATTCGCAGCTTAGCTGCCTCTTGTTCGAAACGATCGCGCATCAGGTGCTCCGTCTCCAGATCCATTTGCGTTTTGTCCAGCTTCTCCTTGACACGATCGATTTCCAATTTGAGACGCTCCTGTTCTTCCTTGCTGCGCTCCTGGCTGTCCTGGTACTTTCCGAGGCGCGCCAGGTAGCGCTCCATCTCCGACTGGCACGTCTCGGCCTCCGCCTGCGCCTTGTCGCGCTCCGCCTGGATCTTCCTCAGCTCGGCGTGACTTCGCTCCGCCTTCTCGTACGCCTTCTCGACCTCCACCTGGAGACGCGCCACCTCCTCGTTACTGCGATCCTGAGCTGCCTGTAGTTTCTGGTACTGGGCCTTGGACCGCTCAACATCAAACACGAGTTTATCCACGTCCTCTTTGAGCTGTTCTCGCTCGTTGGACAGCCTCTTGTTCTCCATCTGGGACTTGTCGTACTTTTCGCGGAGGCGCTCCAGCTCCAGGTTGAGCCGTTCCAGCTCCTCGCGGGACCTCTCCTCGCTGTCCTTCATCCTCATGAACTGGACGGCGCTGCGGTCGTAGAGCTCCTGCAGCTTCTCGAGCTCGTCCTGCGCGCGGCGCTGCTCCTCGCGCGTCTTACCGAGCAGCAGGTGCGACTTCTCGCCCTCGGACTGCAGCCGGTCCTGCTCGTCCTGCGCCGTCTGCAGCCGGGTCTGGAGCCGCTGCACCTCGCCCTGCGACCTGGCGAACACGGGGATGCGGGTCAGGACGTCGTGGTGGATGCAGTAAGGGAAGTATTGTAGCACGAGTCTGATGAGCAGAACTTGGGGAACAGAAGAAAGGCTGTCATTTATATACACACACGATTTATAAATCCCCCGTGCACATAATGACACGAATAAACGCAAATGAAGCCATCAAAACAAAGCACACAACACAAATGGAATGCTTGATAATCATACAGCCGCATGTTTCGCATCGTGATTGCACGATGTGTCCAACTTCTGTGAAATTTATCGCTACATCGCCGGAAATGTTCGTTATTTATGGCTACATTGTGGAAGGATTCCTGTGATGTTGGCTGTTGCATAGACGTCTGCACCGACATGTGCCGCCGAATCGCCGTGACATTTCGCTTGTTCTAGTTCGACTACATCCCGTCGTGAAATTTCCATACGACCAAATAACGTATGCATCTAAATAGAAAATGTGGCTTTTTAAACAATTTCCTGATCAGGATCCCACTCGTGGCTAATAAATATTCGATCTATCTGTTATCTAATGGCCGTTGTAGCCGATTAATGTTTCCGCCCTTGTTTGTTGTAATCGCAATTTCCAAATAGTCTGTTCCAGTAGGGCATGGGGTAAATTTAGTCACGAGGTTAGAGCCCTCCAACGAGTGCACCAACTACATAAGGAACGTAAAGGGCAAAGTGAAAAGTTGGAAAAGCACGCGACCCTAATCATGTTGTGACCTTTGATCTAGCACGTGTCGGGTCAACCGCCAGCGAAAATAAAGGGCTACTCAAGCGCACCGTGAACTATTCCTATAAACTACGAGCGTTGAGCGTCGCACGAGCCTATGGTCAACCGAATATTTTTTTTTCCGGTCGTACCCTAGACAACTGTGCCTGACTTTGTCTGCCCCACATTCGTCTGCAAACAGAAGTCGTCTGGGCCACCCGACTGACCACTTTATCTCAGTCGATTTGACTCATTTTACTGCCGACTCCGACTCGTTTGGTTCGGTTAGCTCACACAACCAGCCGCGTTTGCTGACCCATTCGTTCGAGTTCGGCCGACAGCCTTAGTCGGCGCTATATCTGAGAACGAGACTGTCATCGGGTGGCGCCAGTCTGCGGCAAAGTTACTGCGCCGGATCGTTGCGCCGACGGCGTCAGTCCCGCCGACAATAGCGACGCACCGCGGTCAACACGGCTCGGGGACGGGGGGAGGGGAGGGCGCGTCGGCCGCCTCCCCGGGTATCTGACTGCGAGGGAGGGGCGGGGGGGAGGGTGTCGTTATCACAGCGCGGTGTCGTTATCAAGCTGGCTGATTGGACGCGGCGGTCACTCGGTGACGGCGGAGGGGGAGTGGGGCTGCATGATGACCAGTGGTGCAGCCGGTACTGCCATAGTTGTCACTGGTGGGACGGTCCACTAGCATAAACTGACAGTTGACTACAAAACAGACACATGCAAAAGCGAGATCAATAGCGCCTCCCAAGCTTTCAAAATAAGCGCATATTGGTGTGATGTGCAAAACAGTCAGCTGTGCCGGGTGAAAACTGACAACTCAACTCAGGAAATGACATTTAACCTGATATAAATACTCTTACATAGTCATCGATCACTCACTCACTTATTCTCTTACTTATTCACTCACTCACTCACTCACTTACTCACTCACTCACTCACTCACTCACTCACTCACTCACACTAATCGCTCTCCCCTCTCTCTCTCTCACTTTCTCTCTCTCTCTCTCTCTCTCTCTCTCTCTCTCTCTCTCTCTCTCTCTCTCTCTCTCTCTCTCTCTCCACACGAACAGACATTGACCCCGTTTCCATGGGCATCACTGATTCGGATCAGCAAATTTATTACGGAGCGAGCGAAGCGAGCGTAGTCTTTCCTTAGATTAACGGAAATTTCTGAGTATGAGCGGCCGGCCGGCCGGCCGGCCGGCCGGCCGTGGTCACGCTTTTGCGAGGCTTATATCTCAGCAACCACTTGACCGATTTACACGCGGTAATTTTTGTAGGGTAGCTTCATTCCTTCTACCAAGTATTGGACTATTCCCGATGCATGTGGGTGACCCCTTATGCACGTGCCACGTGCAAAACGAAGAGGTGTCACTTTTGTAATTGTTGCAATATCTCGGTAACTACTTGGCCGATTGCGCTGAAAGTTGGCATGTAGGTAGGCACCCACTAGGCACTGCATATCCATGTGCCAGAGTTGGGGTGCCGCTGCACGTGCGCACGTGCAGGGGTCGTTTCCAGATCTCGAGAACGGCCGGACCGATTGCGCTCAAATTTGGTACACGGTTAGGGACCGGTTAGTAGGGTGCCGTGCACAAGTCAGTTGGGACCCATTTTGCACGTGCGCACGTGCAGGGTGCCGCTTCCAGATCTCGAGAACGGCTGGGCCGATTGTGCCCAAATTTGGCACATCGCTAGAGACCAGTTAGTAGCGTGCCGTGCACAAGTCAGTTGGAGGTACCCCCTCGCAATTTCGCACGTGCAAGGCCCACCCTCTCGCTCGCTCCGTTAGTCGCCCCAAAAGGCGTTATACTGGTATCGTATTATATTTCTCGAACTTTTCGTTACATGATATGATTCCAAGTGGATTAGGCTTATATAATCAGTTAATCCCTTATTTTCATTTTCATATGTTGTCTAACTATACTGGATTAGCTAATCCATTTTTACTGATCCGGATCAGTGATGCCCATGGAAACGTGGTCATTGATCGCAGGAGGCGTGCCGACCAGGCTGACACACAAACGTTCAGACACGAACCGGCTTTGGGTCACTCTGGGCAGCGTGCAAAAGGGCCGTGTTCAGACAGTACCCAGCGTCTTGACATGCCCCTAAGTAGGCTGTTTTCACTACAAATGACCACAAAAATCTAACGTGCCGGGGTTTTAACTATAGGGTGGAGGGCATGGAGTATAATGCTAATTGCTAACTATCGGTAAAAAGAAGTTGCATTTTTTTTTTTTGCAAGAAATACGTAATTGATATGCAAATTAATAAGCGAAGAAGAAAACAATTTTCAATCGTGCTTTGAAAAAAAGTTTAAAAAATAGGTAGATTTGTGGACTAAATAAATGCATAATGATAACACAGACAATCTTTACACTTTCAAATCAAAGGGGGAAACGGTTCAGCATACAATCCGTAAAACTAGTACTCAAACTTGAGCTAATTTCAAGGGGTGCGATTTATAAAAGTTAATGAATCGAAAGCAAGAAAGCAAGAAGGAGGTTTCGGACAGTGTGAAGCTTTGAAATAAACTCTGCAGTCCTATAGCTGATGCTATTATGACAACATTCTAGTGAACTAATATTCAAAGTAAACCATTGAATCGGATGCATTTCCAACTTTTTGCTCAATTAATGCAAGGGTTCTTAATTCCAATGTTGGAGGATGGTGCTCCATCTGCTTCCACCGAGCCCAGCGGCCGGCGGGAGCACACCGGTCTCCACCTCTGCCGCCGTCTCACCGGTCGTATTTCTCCAGCAGTCGCTCGTTCTCGCGGTGCGCCGTCTCCTTTTCCTCCTGCAGCCGCGAGATGAGCAGCTGGTTCTTCTCCAGTTTCTCCCGCAGGTGCTCCAGCTCGGAGCTCCTGTCCTCCTTCTCGATCTGCGGCGGGGGGCGGGGGAGGAGGCCGTCAGACTGCCGCCAAGGACAGTTGGCTCACCTCCGCGGGTCACGGGGCACAGTCACAGTAATTCACCGCGGCACCGGCTCAGTGACATTATCGGACAGAAACGGCCTGGTGAGTTGGCCACCCGGCAGTGGTTCGCAGAACGTGGCGGTGTTTCCGGCGAGCGGCGGCCTCCCGGTGAATAAATGTGTCAGATAAGACCGCGCCTGGAGCGGCAGACGCCCCCTCCCTCACCAGACGTCTGTCGGACCGACGCGACAGTGCGTCGGAACAGCCGGAACGCTGGGATTTTTAGACGGAGAGTGTATATCTGGTGTATAGTTAGCATCTTATGTTACCTAATAGCTTTCTCGTGAACCTGAATAAGTTAAGCTGGATAATTCCTAAAAGATTTGTAAGAAGTACCTAATTGAAGACTGGAGGATATGCTAGTTGTTGTTCCCATTCACTTGTGATTGACCTCTCTGTGAAATGTTTACCTGCCCGTGGCTTACCTGCAGTTTCTGTATGAGTGCGGAGTTTTTGTCCAGTTTCTCGCGGAGCAGGTCCATCTCGGTCTGCACGGTGTCCCGGTCCCTCAGCGCCTTGGCCTGCTGGCTCTGCAGCAGCTCGACCCGCTCCGACTGTTTCAGCAGGTCCATCTCCACGGCCTCCTTCTCCTTCAGCACGCGCGCCAGCTGACCCTGAGGGGCACGGGCGGCAGGCAGGGGTGAGAGGGATGGGGAGCTACACACCGTATCCGCAGCTCCCGGCCAGCTGACCCTGAGGGGCGGGCGGCAGGCGGTGGCCAGAACAGGGGGTGAGGGTCTGCCGTATCCGGCAGTATGCGGCCAGCTGTTCCTGAGATACCGACAGCATACATAGTCCTCACAAAGTCTACAAAGTACATACTTGTCCTAAAAAACTGCAGTTCTCCGTCCTAAACCCGTTCACTTGTCTCTATTACACGCTCAAGTTATTTCATTTTATGCGCGGCTGATGGCGGCATTCATGCCAGTGCATGACTTCCGTAAATCTGGCTAGATTAGGCGGGCGTTAACAAGTGATGGATTATGATCATTTACAGACCCCACAGGTAATGCACGCCGTAATCCTCGGCAATAAACTCTGGCACTTCTGCACGGGGACAGCGCGGCGTGAGTTCCATGGCTTACTGCAGGAGTGTTGCGTGGTCCGGACATTATTGAGGCATTTTCAGCTTACACACTCTCAGAGCAATATACTCTTTCTCCACCCGTTAAACGCAGCAGCAGCGGGCGGCGGGCGGCGAACGGCGGGTGGTAGGCGGCGGGCCGGGCGGCCAGTTAACGCCGTTGACCCTCCACTGGGTCGATGCAGCGCCCCGGCCGCCCCCGCCCCCGCCCCGGCCGGCGGCGGTCGGGCAGCCGATAGAGGCCTGCCGAGACGCTCGCTGCCGCTGCCGGCTGAGCCGAGCGACCTGCAGGGCTCGGTGGGCCCGGCGGCGACAGGCCGGGAAACAAACGGGCCGAACGGCAGAGGAGGAGACGGTCGCTAGACGAGAGCGGTAGTAAAACCAGCAGGGTTGGCGACTGGCTGGGCTGCAGGAGATGGAGAGCAAGCTAAGGCGCTAGGATTTTTGCTAAGTGTGGCAGATTTTTCTTTAGTTAGTGATAACAGGGTACGCAGATAAAGCATAAATAGACATTCGCATTGCTATTTCTGATCATTCAAGTAGGCACGGAAACCGATTAAGAAGACCTTTATTGGCGTTCCGAGACACGTGAAAACCAATTAACGTCAAAGGAGCGAAAATGAGATAGGTGACTGATGACTGGAACGGATGGCAAGGTGGGGGCGGGACTTCGGGGCGCATTTTCACTATCACAGCCTGCAGCGCAGGTCTGTGGCCGGGGATTTCAGCACACTTGATGTATCGCAGCACATTGGATGAGGTTTTATTTCATAAATTGTCAGAGCGTGATTTAATGGGGCGCAAGTGTGAAAAGCGCGGCTATCACACCAAGAGCCGAAGGTAGGTATTCGTTGGATCGTTATTTATCGCTTATTTTATGAAATAATTGAGGCTAGAATGCATACGACATAGCACTAGTTGACATGGAATTAGAACGTTCATTGACTGATTGAATAATAATGAGTTTGAACTAAGTAATTTCAGAAGCTCAGTTAGCTTGTGTTGCTTGTGCATAACTTGATGTGTCTTTTGTACCGTTCACACGGTAAATTAATTTTCAGTAACAAGTGACCTTCAGTGTTTGGAGTTTAAAGGCCACCTGTCAACGTGTAAGTAGGTGAGCTGTTGAAGACTAATGCACAACTTCGTCCTCATGAAGTGAGCCTGGTAATGCGGTTCTGCGAACTCCGTCTAGACGGGCTGAGAATCCAGCGCTCATGTCCGTTCTTTGTCCGATATGACCATCGTTAAATTTACAGCGGTTTCTTCCGTCAAACTTCCAGCAGTTTCTTCGCTGAGTGTGTGGCGCCTACACCTGAAGGTCGCTGCAGAGAGCACGGCCGAGGGACACTAACTATTCCCGGAGTTTCGAGCCTCGCTCTTTGGAATTTCATTAGTTAACGTGGCTCAACAGGTGTTACCGCATAGTTCGGTTTAAATGGTCCAGTTGTGACGTTCGCTGATCAATCGGCTGATACTTGTCATGGATTTAGATTACAGGTTGAATCAGAAGTCAGAGCTGAGCCAACGGTAGCTGCTACGCGTCGAGGAGAAACATGCTAATCAATACCACCAATCTACTCGTATATACAGGCATCAGAACATACAGTTTATCAATTGTATCAACGCTCTCAACAGCCTTTCAGTTGACGCGAGCGATATCCGGTGTGCTTCCTCGTCTCTGTCCTCCCCAAGTGCATCCCCGCTAACATATGCAGATGAGATGCTGATACTGAGTACGTATTACAGTGTACCCGACTGCTCCTAATCGGCTCACGGATGTAACACGGGGGCCTGCACCCCATACCACGAAAATAATTCGGACCAGCTGTGGGCAGGTCTGCCGCGGCGGCCAAACTATTGAAGCCGGATCTGAACTCGATAGGCTGGACGTCAAAGAATTCCCAGATTCATGTCGGTGGGACGTCAGCCGCAGTCCAAAGTCCAACGAATGGCCCCCGACAGTTGAAAACGGCTCTGCCTTTTGTGACACGCCGCGCCAGGCCGCGCCGACAGCCTCATGGGGGGAGTTATTTAACGAGTGCAGTGCAGCTGACAGAGACTTAATGCAGGCGGTGGGGTCTGTTATTAAAAATGCATGTCTGGCTCTCAGTCGGCGAGCACGTGCCATCGTCCCGCCGCCACCTCGCTGGGACTGAGCAGACTCTCCTCACTGACCTGGGCCTTGTCGTACTTGTCCTTGAGCTTGCTGAGCTCCGTCTCGACGGCCTCCTTGTCGCGCTGCATGCGGGTCGACTGTCCGAGCGTCTTGTCCACCTGCGCCTGCAGCAGGTCCATGTCGCAGATCGCCTGCTCGCGCTCCGCCTGGAGCTGAGGGGAATGTCGGGAGTCACAGCCACGAAAACAGCAGCGAACGTAAAGAACTGGAGGTTACAGAGAAATGTTGTTACAAAAATGGTTGTATATGTTTTACGCTCCAATTTGTTTCTTGTATGTCAGAAATAGCCAAATCTTATAGAGGCCAATAGACATAGGTTATGTCCTGCTTACTCGCATATTTTTGTTACGATTCCTCTGCTTGTTTAGATAATTGCAGGGAGTATGTCTGATTGAGCAGTGTCACGAGCGAAAGCGTACCAATACACACGTTACACATCTTTGAAAAGCCTACCGCACCATCTCACCGAGACAAGGCGCTGACCACTTACCCTGCGCAGCTCGCCGGTGGTCCTGTCGAGCTTCTCCTGCAGCTGATCCAGCTCCATCTGCGCCTTGTCCAGCTCGTTCTGCGTCTTCTCCTGGGTGATCTGGGTGCGGCCGAGCGTCTGCTGCGACCGCTCCAGCTCCTCCTTCAGCTTGTCGGCCTCGCTCTGCGAGCGGTCCTTGTCGGTCATGATGCGCGCCAGGATCATCTGCGAGCGGTCGTACTCCTCCTGGAGGCAGTCCTTCTCGCTCTGGGCGTTCTCTAGGCGCGTCTTCAGCCGATAGATCTCGCCGGAGGACTTTTCCACCTTCTCCTGCAGCTGCTCGACCTCCACCTGCACGCGGTCGTTGTCGTTCTGGTACATGCGCAGCTCGGTCTGGGCGCGCCGCAGCTCGGCCTGCGACTTCTCCAGCCGCTCCTGGAGGCGCTCGATCTCCAGCGAGGCGGCCAGACTGCCGCTCATGTGCCGCTCGCGCTGCGGGTTGTACACGGGGGTCGTGGATCGCTCCCAGTCGCGTGAATCCCGGGAGTCGCGCGGATCCCGCGGATCGCGTGGGTCTCGAGGATCTCGCGGATCACGCGGATCTCTGGGATCGCGGTCCATCCGATCTCTGTCCCGCTCCCGGTCCCGGTCGCGGTCCCTCTCCCTCTCCCGCTCTCTGTCCCTCTCGGTCCGCTCTCGCTCCCGCTCGAGGTCGAACCGCAGCCGGTCGTTCTCCGCCCTCAGTCTGTCCGTCTCCAGCTCCAGCTTGGTCAGCTTCTGTTTGCTCGACTCGACCTCGTGCGAGCGGCTGCCGACGTCGCCCTGAACCTTGTCCAGCTCCGCCTTGGCCTTGCCCAGTTCCTGCTGGGATGTCTCCAGCTTGGCCTCCAGTTTGGCCTTTTCGGTCTGGGCGCGCTCCAGCCGCACCTGCAGCTTCTCCAGCTCGGTCTCCAGCGCGTGCAGCTTCAGCTTGTATTCGGCCAGCTCTCGCTCGTGCAGCTCGCGCTCCTGGGCGCGGTCCTGCTCGGCGCGGTCGCGCTGCTCGCGCAGCTGGGTGATCTGCTTGTCGCGGTCGCTGATGGCCTCCTCGAGGGAGCTGAGCGCGCCCTCCGAGCTGGTGTGGTGCGCCTGGACGGCGGTTAATCGGGAGCGGGCCATGTCCACCTGGTTATCCTTCTCCTTCAGCAGCTCCTCCAGGTTCTCCACCTGCGGGGAGAGAGAGAGAGAGGGGTGAGAATGGGAGAGAAAGAGTACGGAGGGGATTGCCTGCGGCAGTCAACGTCAGAGGAACGAAACTCTGTCAAAAATAGCGTGTCCTTTAAAGCAACGCCATCCATGCGGGAAGTTTCCCTCATATAGCAGAGTTATGCTCGTCGAAGAGCCCAACATGAGTTTGAAAGGACCGAGTCTTGCCACTATTATATAACATGGTGAAATGAAAGTCACAGCCAACGCGTCGAAGCCATCCATATTTCACGATATGCTCGAGGATATCAACTTTATTGAATGCTTGTACGTAGATTTCTGAGTCAAATATGATACGGTGTTAAATAAAAAATCAAATGGATTTTATCCAAAGATCAAGCAGCTGAGTCCCTGAGTGCGGATCGATAGGGCTACGAGTTAAGATGCAGTCCTGTCATCCGTCTGATTTCCCGTCCTGTGACACAGACCCAATTACTGTCGCACACCGATCCTATACCCCATGTCACGCGTCTGTCCTATACGTCGTGTGTCGTAATACGGGCTCGTGAGTTATCACTCATCTAGTGCATGTTTGATATCACCCATTTTGTCCTGCCACTGATCACAAATCTGTGGCAGATTTGACAATTCATGTCATCTGTTTTCTAGGTCCGGCTCTGTGTTCCGTACCAAATGTTGAACAGACTACACAAGCAATTATCTATTCCTTTCCCTCTGCCGAGGACTTCTTTGTCTCGTTACGTCGTAAATTGGAATTGCACGAAAGAAAATTGAATAATAAATCAAGCTGCTGCAGAAACATAAATCGGAAATGTCAGATACATGATTTTCTATTGTGTCGAGCGCCGTGATGACTGACCTTCCTCTGGAGTACGTTGATTTTGCGGTCCTTGATGTCCAGGTGGTCTCTGGTCTCGTTGAGCTCGCTGCTGAGTCGACTGCGCTCCTGTCCGGCCTGCAGAGCCGCCTGCGTCTTCTTCTCGATGGTGCGGTTCTTCTCCTCCAGTCGCTGGCGGAGCTCTTCCACCTGACGAGGGTAGCGTGGAGGTCAGTCTCGTCTCCAGACGCATATGGCGGGACTTTTTATGAAATGAAGCTAGATATCTGCCAATAAGCTATAGAATGCATAACTCAAGTTATTCCCTTATCACCGAGAAAAAGCTTTGACCGAGGGGCACATAGCCTAAAATAGATATAAATAGCAATGCATCGTACCAAATGGATGTCGAAACCTGCACGTGGGCCTCGACATTGAGCTTAAACATCAGATATATTTTCCGATTTTCAAAAACCGAGATAAGCCCCTTATAGGCCTATGTTCTCCGGTCCTGGAGCGAAATTCAAGGCCGCGCGTTGATCCGATTAGGACAGTGTGGGCTCCGGTACTGACATCGGCCTGGAGCATGTTGTAGTGCTCCTCCTTGGCGCAGAGCGACTCCTTGAGCACGGTGATGTGCCGCTGGTAATCGTGGTGCTGCTCCTCCAGCGTCTTCATCTTGGCCGTCAGCGCCACGATCTCCTGGTCTCGGCGCTGGATCTCGGTCCGCGCGTCATCAAACTGCCGGGGATAGTCCGCGCGTCATCGAACTGGGGGAGGGGAGGGGGATAGTCCGCGCGTCATCAAACTGCCGGGGATAGTCCGCGCGTCATCGAACTGGGGGGAGGGGAGGGGGATAGTCCGCGCGTCATCAAACTGCCGGGGATAGTCTGCGCGTTATCAAACTGAGGGTGATAGTCCGCGCGTCATCAAACTGAGGAGCAGCCCGCGCGTCATCAAACTGCGGGGGGGGGGGGGGTTAGTCCGCGCGTCATCAAACTGCCAGGGATAGTCTGCGCGTTATCAAACTGAGGGTGATAGTCCGCGCGTCATCAAACTGAGGAGCAGCCCGCGCGTCATCAAACTGCGGGGGGGGGGGGGGTTAGTCCGCGCGTCATCAAACTGAGGAGCAGCCCGCGCGTCATCAAACTGCGGGGGGGGGGGGGTTAGTCCGCGCGTCATCGAACTGAAGAGCAGCCTGCGCGTCATCAAACTGCGGGGTGTAGGGAGGCAGAGAAGTTCGGACATCTGCCCACGCGTCATCAAACTATAGGGGAGGGGATGGGGAGTCCACTCCGCGCTTTAGTGACTGTCGACTTAAAACGGCGCCCAGGTTACTCGTTCGCCACTATTTCCCCACCGTTCGTATGGGGAATTTTACAACCCACGGACTCCTCAGATACTGTCAGTCACGATGCAATCCGATTCCTAAAATTGTTTCCATGTGTTAGCAAGCCCGTGGACTGAAGTGGCCACCGGATATCCTGAGAACTTCGAGGACCGACGTTCATAAAAAGGGTCGGCGCCGGCGTCTCCCCCTCCCCCTCTCCCGCCTCACGGCCCTCGCCGGTGCCCACTCCCTGATGGCGTGTCACGGCCCTCGCCGGTGCCCACTCCCCGATGGCGTGTCCTGGCCCATGACGGTGCCCGTTCACGCCGTCCGTGCCGCCGACCGACCGCCGCGCACCGCGCGTCATGGTTAATGCAGTGGCGGGCGGCGGCTAGCAGGCAGTGGCTCCACGCACACAGGGTGGATGCTGGACTGCCCCCAGTAGTGGGCAGCAGCCAGAGACGGCCAGTGGGCAGCTGCCCCCCCCCCCACACACACACACGGCGGGCAGAGGCCACACGCACACACATAGCGAACAATGCGCACCCGAGAAGTGGTAAGCTGAAAATCGTACGGCTCTTTCAGATAAGGGTGGACGGTGGATTATCGACCACCTTTATCGCTGACTTACCTGTTTTTGTGACGCTGACTGAAGTTGTTGATACATTAACCGCTCCTCTTCTTTGCCTGAGGAAATGCAATAACGTGAATCGTTTGTAAGGACGTGCAAAAACGTGAATCATTAATTACACCCTCACTTGCTTGTTCGGTTGAAGAGCGCGTCTATTCCCAATCTATTGAGATAAAAGATGGCTGGCACACCATGTAATTGTCGATACAGGGTGCGCGTTTAGGGTTTATGTACTTTATCACATTTGAGCTTACGCTTGAATTTTAAATCGTACCTTACGGAGACAAATTTTACCTCCGGTTTTTCGAACACTTTTAACAGCAGCTTTCTGAAATTTGTTCTGTTTCGTTATCAGTTTCGCTCTGCGTCGTCATGCATGTTTAAAGGGACCCTCCCACCTTAACATTAGTTTTGAGTTGAGATAGCCAAGTTTGCGGCCAGGCTCAGAAACCACCATTTATCCTGGTCGCAACCCCCGCAGCTTTATGGTGTTCAAGAAATTTCTTCCCTTTACTTGCAGGGTGGGACCAGCGTGGTCCCTATCTCTTAACCATTACGGGAATCTGATGACGTCATCAGGCTTTCGAACGTCCGTTAAATGTTTGACTAAAACGTTTTGTAGCACGCGGTGGTATATGCTGCTTTGCGCGCAACAAATGCCGCACTTTCAAATAAAGTCGCTAGGAACAGCGGAGATCCCAAAAAGTAAACAAAAGTAAAAGTCTAATATCTTGAAAACCGGTGAATATTTTTCGGTGAAATTTGGTAGATATTAGTTTTCGCTCTTTCTGAACCGAGCGACATCACTTTCATGCCAATTCATAAACTTTTTGAAGGTGGGAGGGTCCCTTTAACCTTCCAGGCGGTGGGGGGGGGGGGGGCATTTTTTTGCCGCCCCTTTAGTTTTTTCGATATATCTCGAGAACCGCTGCGCCGATGGTCACCAAACTTTCAGTACCCTCCCGGGAGTAGCTAGCGCACATGGTGACTAATTTTTTTCCAAAGGCAATGATAGGTTGGCCGCTAATGACGTCAGAGTGACGTCAATTCTGCCATTTTCGACCCAAAAAAAGGTTTCGCAGGAAGAGCTGTCAGGCCTACAGCTTTAGAGATACAGAAAAATGTTTCAGACATAAAAGGTGTGGAATCAAGAGGACTACAAAACTGCTATTTCGATTTTCAAATTTTTTTGATTTTGATCCCCAAAAATTAAAAAATAGATTTTTTGAATATAATAGCCGAAAAATCCATAGGTTTTTGAATTTCGGAAAAAACGGAATATATGTGATAGTCCCTACCCCCTTCTATCTACATACCAAATTTGGTATCGATACCTCTTTTTTGGCCAAGTTATAGCGAAAAAAACTGTTCAAAATTGATTACATCAAATTTTCAAACTCAATTTTTAGCAATTCTAAACCTCGTAGCACAAAACAAAGACCACCATTAGACTCCCCGTGACAAGCTGCATCGAATCAATACCCATTTTATGCAAAAATATCAACTTTGAAATTTGACCTTTTTGACCTGGCCTTGACCTGACCTCCACCAGAAAGTGACCTAAACCGTACCTGATGGTCTTATAACCAACACCATTGAGCTGGAAATGAAAAACTGGCCATAAAACATGCATCGCACAACCTTAGTAAAGTTGGGTTCATGTGGTGACCCTTGGTGACCTTTGGTGACCTGACCTGTGACCTGACCTGGTATGACCAGTGACCTCTAATAGCAACATATGTACTAGACAACTGACGCACTATCGCTGATTTTCGACAAAATGCGTTTTACTCGGTGTTACAGCGCTTTCCCTAGAAGCCCCGTGAACGGTGAAACATTTTATCTTTGACCTGACCTGTGACATCATCGGTGACCCCGAGGTCAATGAAATTTGGTTTCCCTCGACATATTTGACAGGGCTATCGAGCGCCGTTTGAATTTTCCGGATCCGTCCAGTGATTTCGGAGATACGGGGGGGGGCAAAAAATGCCCCCCCCCCCCACCGTGCGGAAGGTGGCCGGGAGGCCCACCGCCTGCCGGGTTAAAACAAGTTCAAACTATCCAGATGTTGTTTGCAACCAAGATTCCTTTACTACTCAGGTTGGTTCACTAGGGAAATGAAGGCGCCGTGGTGACGTCATCAGAGAAAACCCTTAACGTTCAAATGAGGGGGTCTTTTGAATTGCTGATTTTGGCTCGATATAGTCCATTTTTTTTTTTGTTTCAGCCCCATTTATCGTGATGAGGTGAACTCATTGTTACATTGGTACAACTTTTGATGGCACATAATCCTTGTTTTTTTTTTCTCCAGCTCGCTCGGAAGATGATGAGATTTGCATGCATGCATATGGGTGAAGGGAGATTCTACCGCCGTGGTGACGTCACGGTAAAGGGATTCTGGAGCTCGTGAACGGTGGCTAGTTCGCACCAGCCTATTTTTATATGACCAGAGAATCAATAAAACCTTACTGGGGGAGATGTCTGATTGAGTGCAGCTCTATTTGTTTCAAGGAAGTTGTTGCCGCGCCCTATCTATAAAATCTTAAAGATCCACTCCACTTTTAACTCGAAGTGATAATGTTTTGCGGTTTTGAATAATTTTATCTCATCCATCCAGTCCGGACCAAACGTATATGCTGGCGGTGGCCAAGTGCCGCAATTACCCGGGCCCGCAGCATTGTGATATACGATCCGGGTTTATTAGTTATTCTGTATCCCTGTTCAACCTCCCATTAAATCGAGACCATTAGGCGAAATGCCACCGGGAGATATTTCTGTCGGGAAGCAAAATTGCTTCCATCCATTTCGCTTAATATCAAGGCACAAAGCTAAAGACATGTCATCCATATTCCTAGCAACTAGTGATATCGTTTAATCAGCGGATGAAACCTGTCTTGTGAACC